AAATCAACAATGAAGTATCAGAGTGGAACCAAACTTTTGGACATATGGATTCAGCAGATGTCTAAAGGGTGCTCCGTTTCTCAATGAAAGTGGAAATCAATTGCAAAAGTAACCACAAGACTTCATAAAGAAATTAAATAGCACCCTTGTCAACAACCAATGGGTAATGTGTTACTTTTCTCTTGTTGTGACAAAATACCTGGCATTAAAAGTTAAATGGGAAGGGGTCTATTTGGCAGAACTGCATGAGCTCAAATAATCTGCTGAATTTCAAGTTTCTAGAGAAGTCCAGCTAAATCTATCTAAGAAGGAGGAAATTATAAGAACAGAAATTAATGCAATGGAGACTAACAAAAAAATACAAAGACTCAATGACTCAAATAGCTGGTTCTTTGAAATAGTAAGTAAAACTGATAAACCCCTGATGAACTTTAGAAAGACTCAAATTTATGCAATTAGGAATGAAAGGGTGAAATCACAACAGATCCTTCAGAATTCCAGATCATCAGAATCTACTGAGAACTTGTACTATGATGAGATGGAAAACACAGAAAAAATGGACAGATTCCTAGATACATATGAATTACCAAAGCTAAATCAAAATATAAAAATTCTAAACCAGTAACAATGAAATTGAAGATATAATTGAAATCATACTAACAAAGAAAAGTCAAGACCTTCCTTACAAGATTCACTGCCGAATTCTACAAGAAAATTCAACAAGATCTAATGCCACTATTTCTCAAAATCTTTAATGAAATAGAAAGGGAATCCAGTTCATTCCTGAAGTAAGAATTACCCTGATACCAAAACCAGAGAGGGATCCAAACCAAAAAAGATAATTACAAGCCTATCCTCCCTAATGAATATAGATGCAAAAATTGTTAATAAAATATGAGCAAACAGAATGGAGCAAATCATAAAGAAGATTATACAAACTGACCAAATAGCATTCATCCTATGGATGCACATACACAAATCAATAAATACTCCATATTAACAGAAGGACCAAAAAAAAAAAAAAATGATCATCTAAAAAATGCAGAAAGCATTTCACAAAATTCAGAACCCATATATGATAAAAATCCCTACCAAAAACTGGAACAAATAGGCTTCAATTCAATCTGATAAAAGTCATTTATGATAAACCAACAGCCAATTTACTACTAAATGGACAAAACTGAAAGCTTTCAATCTAAAATCAAGAATACATATGCACCATCACCAGTCCTATTCAATATAGTTCTTTCTTGAAACATTAGCCAGAGCACTTAGACAAGATAACAAAACTTTCATTTAATAACCAAATTCAGTTGTGTAGCTGGATACAAAATGAGCACTGAAAAATCAATTTCTGTACACAAAAATTCACTTAGAGAGAAATAAGGGAAACAACATCTTTCCTAACAACGCACCACCCCCCCAAAGAAAAATAGCTAGGAATAAATGTAATGAAGGAAGACCTTTACATTGAAAACTATAGTACACTGAAAAAGGAGATCAAAAAGGATATTATAAAATGGAAAGACATTCCTTGTGCTTGGGGTAAGAACCACCATAGTGAAAATGGCTATATTCCCAAAAGTGTTACACAGGTTTAATGCAATCCTGATCAAAAGGCGAAAAGCGTATCTCACAGTTAGAGAAAACAGTTCTCAAATTCATCTGCAAACAAAAGAGACCTAGAATAAGAAAAGCAATTCTGGGTCAAAAAGGCAAGGCAAGGGATATCACAATCTGACTTGAAATTATACTACAAGGCTATATGATAAAAACAGAATACTAGCAAAAACAAGACCCAAGGATCGGTGCAACAGATCTGAAGATGCAGAAACAACTCCAAACATATGTATCCACTTTACTTCTGATAAAGGAGCCAAAAACTTTCAATGGAAGAAAGCCTCTGTAATAATGGAGCTGGAAAAACTGGCTTTTCACTTCCTGAAGATTCAAATGACGCATATATTTCACCATGCACGAAACTAAAATCGAAATGGATCAAAGACCTAAATATTAAAACAAAACAGTCTGCTGTAACAGAGTGGAAGAACCCTTGAAGACACTGGAGTAGGCAAAGACGTTATGAAAACTTTCCTTGCAGGAAATAAGATTTTACACAGCAAAAGAACCATCATCAGAGCAAAGAAACAACTGACAGCGTGGGAAAAATTTTTTACTAGCTAGCTGTTACTCAGGTAAAGCCTAATGTCTAGAATACATAAAGAACAACAACAACAAAAGAATCCAGACTCCCCACCTTTAAAAATCTGTATTTAAAAAAAAAAAAAAAAGGGCATCTGAGATCAATACATACTCCTTACTTGAAGAAGTACAGATATATGAAAAAAATGTTCAGCATCACTGGTCATTCAGGAGATGCAAATTAAAACAAGACAGAAATCCCGTCTCATTCCAGAAAGAATGGCTGCTATAATGAAATCAAACAATAACAAATGCTGGGGGAAAAGGCATCCTTCTGCAGTTGGTAGGAGAGAAGACTGATGAAACCATTATGGAAATCAGTATGTTGGTTCGCTGAAGAATTAGAATTTGTAAAGTTCCCATTTGACTCAGCTATTGTCCTTGGCACGTTCCCAAAGAATTATAAGCACCATGCTGGGCCAGGGTTTTTAACTCAGAGACAGCAAGGCCCTCCTCATAAGCTGCTGAATTCAATCCCTGTACTAAAAAAAAAAAAAAAGGACAAGAAAAAAAGAATGGAGGCAAATCCTTAACTAACACCATACATAAAACTCTACTTAAACTGGATTAAAAACAAAAGCATAAAACTCTTAGGCAAACAATACAGGAGTAAATAATTTGTACTTAGATTTGGCAATGATTTCTAATTACAGGATAACAAAAACACAGATAACAATAACATTAAATTTATCAAAATTAAAAACACTGGGCTGGGGATTTAGCTCAGTGGTGCTGCCACCTGCCTTGTGAAGACCCATGTTCGATCCCTGTTACAAAAAAAAAAAAGAAAATTACATATATATATTTTCCGTATGCAGAGGGATAGGAGAAAATATCTGTAAATCATGTTTGATAAAAGATTAACACACTTAGCCGGGTGTGGTGGCGAACGCCTATAATCCCAGCCCCCGGGAGGCTGAGGTAGGAGGATCACTGTGAGTTGGAGTCCAGCCTGGGCTGCAGGTCAGTCTCAACTACATAGTGAAACCCTGTCTCGAAAAACAAACAAACAAAAAAACAAAAACAAAAAACAAACAAAAAAACACACTTAAAATTCAAAAACCAAAAACCCAACTAAAAAATGCGTAGAAGGTATGAATTTAGAAACACAAATCTCTAAAAGAAGGTATACATTTAATAGGAAGTCACAAGAAAATGCTCAGAATCACTGTGAAGTCATTAATTAGGCAAATACAAATCAAAACCATTGAAGTACCATTTTGTTTTTTTTAATCTTACTGAGTTTATTGGTACTTTTTAAGTATAGAGTACAGTTATATTCATTATTGGGATCTTGCACTTGGTTCTCATTTTTTCGCTGTACCCCTGCCCTTCCTCCCCTTCTCCGTCCTCCCTACTTATGAAGACTTTGTTTCTATTTTTCCCTTTTCTCTTATTTTTTCTTGTCCCTTATTTCCTTTTCCCCATCATTCCCACTTTCCCTACACATTTAGCCCTTTTCTTATTTCAATTATCAGTTACACAATTTGGATCTTTTTTACCCTTTCAGTTTTTCACACCAGAGAAACTACTTGGTATTTAGGTGTGTCATTTATTTCACTTAAGAGTGTGGCCTCAATATGCATATATTTTCCTATGAATAACTCTAGCTTCTCATTTTCTTTATGGCTGAGTAGTATTCCATTTTATAAAAACAAAACAAAACAAAACAAAACAAAACAAAACAAAACAAAAAAACAAAAAACACATCATCTTTATCCAGTCTCCAACTGATGGGCAACTGGGCTTTTCCAACTTTTAGCTATTACAAACTGTGCTGCTATAAACATGGGTGTGTATACATCACAGTACCATTTCTGACCAGAGTGCATATTATCAAAGAAGTTAAAAAACATGTGGCATGTCGGGAATTTAGCTCAGTAGTTCTTCCGCCTGTCTTGTAAGCACAAGGACCTGAGTTCAATCCCTGGTTCCAAAAAACAAAAAGTGGCATAGAATATAGAAAATAATGTATGTACATTGATGATGGGCATGTAAAATGGAAAAGCTACAGAAATTAGTACATTCTCAAAAAAAAAAAAAAAAGTTAAATTACTGTATGAGCCATATATCCATTTCTAGGCACATCAAAAGGCCTGATGAAACTGTAGCTAGAAATCTGTATTTATAGCATTGTTCATAGTATAACTATTTATCATAACTAAAAGACAGATATAACTCAAGATATATACATCAATATGTAAAAACATGGTGTGCATGTGTAATACATATAATAAATACATAATTCAGCTTTAAATGTTAATCAAGTTCTGACACATGCTACAATATGGATGAACTAAAAAAATTATGTTAAGCTAAACAAACACACAAAGATTAATTCTATGATTCTATTCATATGAGGTATCTAAAGTAAGCATATCCAGAGATACTAGGGGTGACCAGAGAGTCAACAGGACGAAACACAAGAGTTACTGGTTAAAAGAACTTTGGGTGATGAAGAATTTTGGCCATTGTTAGAGAATTCTGACAATGGCATGAAGGTGCAAATATAACTGAACTATTTATCTGTAAGAAGTTAAACATACCTATTTTTTGGTTATGAATAAATAATTATATATTTTACTACAATAAAAATACTTCACAGGAGAAAAAAAAAACTATGATACTGGCATTTTGCAAATAGAACAAGGCAAGTTAAGTGCAACATGTAAGTAAAAATTTCCTATCCATTAATATGTAAAAACTCTTTTTTTGAAATCAAGAATAAAGTCTCTTCAAAATCTATACGCTTAAAATAAAGTTAGCCTTCCTCCTAATTAAATTAAAAAAACACTTACTTGCTGGGACACTGCAATAATAAATCAATGATGAATGTCTGCCAAGCTATCTCTTTATTAAGTATATCCAAGGCTGTTGGAATTAAAGCAATACATAATGTCATCACTTCCAAGGCCTCACAGCAAACCTGTTCATCTTCCATCTCTGGTTCATGGCTTCCATTAGTCATCTGTAAAATTATAATAGCAAATTACTGACAGGTACAGTTAAAAAGAAGTTTTCGGACTTTCTAGTTAGTATTTAAAATTACCTAGTCCAAAGATCATGTGGCCTCAGATTTTAACATGAAGCTACTGAGGCCCTTTGGAATTTATTCCAATGGGATAAAAGGAGTTATTTATTTACTAACATTTTGAAGTATGTGTGGTATCCATCTGCTTAAATCATAATTTAAGTAAGAGATCATTATGCACTACAGTCTGGGTCTTTAATTAGTGTACGTAACCTAATAGAATGTCAGGAACAATGCCACAATTTCACGAGTAAGTGGCCTTATGGCAGGATTCCAAAGTATTTTATTTTCAACATAAAACTGCATATATTCTCATTTTATTTATAGGTAGCAGTTAAGGTGAAACAGGTACAATTTGGTCTTTATATATGACAGACAAGTAATTTAGCTGTACTAAGAAACTGTACTTAAAAGTAATATATTTCTGTAGTAATTCTTACCATCTCATAAATTTTAGTGATTTCTTCATTTGGGCTAAATAGAAGCTCTAATGCTCCACATCCTGATGCCCAGACAATTTGTTGTATAGCTTTAATCACACAAATATCAGGTATGTATCTTGAGGCCTGTAAGAATACAATTAAACATGCTGAAAGAATTATAAAGTGTAATAAGCAGGAAAAAAAAATTGGGTTTAGGCTGGCCTTATACTTGCTATATAGCTCAGGCTAACCTGAATTTGTAACTCTCCCATCTCAGCCTCCCAAATCCACAAATAAAACGTTTTGCTTTGTAAAAGCCACAGAAATGGCTGTAAGAGAAGTTAATACACTACAGACTGCTTATCACAGCCCAAGGAACCCCTGGTCTCATTTTTGATGTCTTATAACCACGTCATATAGTGTAACTTTACATATATATAAAAGATATGTTTAATAGCAATATTCACAAAGTACCCTTCAAGGTAAGATCTGATATGTCCCTAAGCTATTTTTTCATAAGAATTTTTAGTATAGAGAAATCAGATTACCTAGTCATTATACTCTCAAGATGTTTACCCAATAGTTATAAAGACATGCCCACACAAAAAGTGAACTCACAAAATTTTTGTAAAAGCTTCCTCCCACCAGTAAGAGACTAGGAATAATCCAATGTCCATTCAGACTAGATTAAAAATGTGAAATCATCATACAAATGGAACAAGAGGAAAAAGAAACATGGCTAGCTTTCACAACCACACTGACATACTACAGACACAAAAATTTTACAGAATATGTAACTTTTTTTTTTTTTTTTTTTTGGTTCGGGGATTCAACTTGGGTCCTTGCACTTGTGAGGAAGGTGGCAGCACTACTGCGCTAAATCTCTGGCCCCATAATGTATTTTTTAGGGGGGCGGTCCTAGGGGTACAACTCAGGCCCTGTGCTTCCAAGGCAGTTGGCGAAACCACTGAGATAAATCCCTGGCCCTATAATGTACCTTTTATATAATATTTAAGAATGAAAAAGTATAAAAAAATTAGTAATTACAGAAACTAGGGGCAGAGAGTATAAGAGGCACATTAATACTTTGGGGGCTTAAAGAAATATCCCGTTCATTAAATATGAGAAGTTAAAACATGAATCAAATTTAATCTGTCCTAGTTTATGCAATATAAATATATTTTTAAAAGTTTCATTAAAAGATTGTGTAAGTACCGTCTAAAGCGCTAAAGTTAGGCTAAAGAGATTGTAACTATGAAACTTCAGATAAGACAGATCTTGAGTACTGTAATTAGAGGCATTTGGCTACTACATCTATATCTAACTCCAAAAGTGGTAAGTAAAATCTATTTGTGAGTAGAGACAATATAGATTAAGAGTTTTTAAGAGTTTGATACGAACCTCACCAGATATTTCCTGAGCAAGACGTATCGATATATTTCTTAGCTCGCACTCAGATGAAGGATTAGGAATTCTTTGAAGAGCATTTTGCAGCACCATAGCTTGATCATGAGTAACTTGGTTAATCTGAAATAGATTAACCATTTAACCTCAAGAAAAAACTTGTGAATAAGAAAATTCCAAAAATTTATATATAAATTTAAATAATTTATTCCTTAACCATCACCACTTCCAAAGGATGTGACACCTTCATAAATTCTCTGTAGAATTTATGGTGGTTTTCATAGAGAAAAAAACAAAACAAAACAAAACAAAACAAAAAAACCAACCTTCAGATTGCCAATACTGTAAATCTTACTAGTTACTTTTGAGAGTCAGACTCTTCAAATATTTCAATTTTATATTTATTTATTATTTGGTACCAGGGATCGAACTCGGGTCCTTGCGCTTGCAAGGCAGTTGACAGAACTGCTGAGCTAAATCCCCGGACCTCAAATATTTCAATTTTAGATTAGTTTTTTGTTTTTGTTTTTGTTTTTTTTTTTTGGTACTGGGGATTGAATTTGGGACCTTGTGCTTGCGAGGCAGGCGGTGGAACCACTGAGCTAAATCCTCAGCCCAATTTTACATTAATTTAATACTGCTTGTGAACTTAAAATTCATTTTCTCTGTCTGGCATCTCTAAGCAGGTTAAAATTTTATGTGTTATGTATATATTAACTAAATTAATCCTTTAAAATTTATTTAAAAGCTGGGTGTGGTGGTGCACGCTTCTAATCCAGCACTTTGGAGGCAGGAGGATCACTGTGAGTTCAAGACCAGCATGGGCTACATAGTTCCAGGTCAGTCTCAACCACAGAGTGAGACCCTGTCTCAAACAGGGAAAATAAAAAAAAAAAAAAAAAAAAAGAGGGGGGGTCCTGCATGCCAGGTACTTTTATAGGATTTTATATTGAAAGCTTAAATAGCAGAGGAGTACAAGGAGTAGTTTCAAAGTCAGTAAGCTTAGCTGAATTAAAATGATAGCTCACTGTTTCTATTTTGGATAAAGTTATTTCATCACTATGTTTTGATTTACATCTACAAAATGAGAATAAAAGTGACTTACCAAATACAGCTCAATAAAATATCAATGTTTAAATGATATAAACTATTATATGTATAAGATTCTCTGTAAATTGAGATTCACAGTATTTCTCACAATATCTGGCTTATAATAATAGATGCACATAATTATCTGTTGAATAAAGTTCATATAGTGTTTTAAAACGAATCCAACTGAGATTACTTTTTTACATCAGAAAAGTCTTGCACCATTTGTTCTTACATTAAAATTATTTTGTTAGTCATCAATGCTATACTATTTTCCAATTCAACTCATTAGATTGAAATGAATGACTAGGAATCTAAAGGACCC